CTGGACCCGACGCCCACGTTGACGAGCGCGTAATGCCAGCCATGGGCTCGCCAAAGAAGACTATAGATCACCTACGTCTTTCTCCTGTGGAACCCCTGTCGGCAGATTCGCTTCCAGATGTATCCATCAAAATCTATTCTTGCTCGTCGAGAACCCGATCATGATGACAGATGAGTTTGTGACGTTTTCAGCAAACAACCTCCGCCTGCAAAGGCTCGGCTGATCTGTAAACAACTCGAACAGACCCGCTCTGCGCTTTTCAACAAAATCTCCGTGGGGGCTGTGGCGACACGGTCGCTAATAGTCGACGTATAAATTGGTGGCATCACACTGCTTCTTTCGCTCACTCTGACACGAGTGAACCCAATGAAGAGAACGGCTGCGTGCATTCAGCGGAGTGGCGGAGGTGAATGGTACAGACAAGAATCCGATTAATTAGCAGGTCTTGTAGTACGCATCAAGGGTTGTCATTGCATTACTAGTAAGTGCCAGCATCTCTCGAAAGGGGTCACCGAATTGTCAACCTGCAAATATGTATGCCATTGTGAAATATATGCTTCAACAGGCTCATTTATTTGCTATTTCTGAACGTCTCCTTTGCCGAGTTTGGGCCTCTTTAGGCGAGAAAAAGTGGCGGCCCATACCAAAGCAGCGTCTCCTTGGTTCGAGCAGAACCAACGACGGACCAAGGAGTGCAATTCGATGAAATTAATTGCTTGGAATATGCAGAAATTCGTCCACAGTGACCATCTTCAAACGAGACGTCTGTCCTCTATTAGTATTCTGAGTCTTGAATACCGCTGGGCGCCCGGCGTGGATGTCGGATGCGCATAGTATTCCACGTTGAACAGCGAAGCGAAGGCTCGACTATTCGAGGACGACTCTCCAGGTGAACCAGAGACGCGGTCGCATTGTCGTCGCAACTCCGTGAGGAAGGTCTCGATCAGTTGGCTTAACCAGCAAAAGATGCGTGTTGCACACCCCCATCGCGCAGACCAGAAACCCATTGGGCGATCCTTATCGTAGGGTCGCTGCAAAGGAAGTCATGGAGACGCTGGCTCAGTTGCCACTCTCCGGCCCTGTCGCCAGCTCTAGACGCCAAACTGTTCGGCGGTACTATATCTCGTCAATGACCTGGCGCTCTGGAACATTTTCCAGATGGCCACCGAACAATCAACTTCTGCAATGGCATCCCTGTGGGAATGGTATAACTCTATGGATGAGGGCAAATCAAAGATCGATGATCTTGGATTTCGCGAGTTATTCTCAGAATAATCCTGTTGTCGAGTACGCAGTCCGCCCGTCATTACAACTTAACCGCTGACGTCGCCGCATCAGCATTGTCGCCATCCACGGCTTGAACGGCCACAGAAAAAAACGTGGACGTCAGAAGATGGAAAAATGTGGCTGCGCGACTTCCTGCAAGACGACTTGCCTCGTGTTCGGGTCTCTCTTACGGATGACGCCGATACGCACAGTCGAGATGTGTATCAACCGAGACCATACATCGGCACGGTGATAAACTAGTCATGGCTCTTTCACGCGAGCGTAAAGACGCTTCTCGAGTGAGCGAATCTTGCTAGTTTGATGGTGTCTGATGAACCATCATTAGCGGCCAATCATTTCCTCGCGCACGATGTGGAGGTATTATCCTCAAATGGGTTCGTATGAACAAGGCTCGATACAAATGGAGCACTGACGTCCTTGTAGGCACTCGTAATCTGCAACAATAAGGACCAGGATTCAGATGGAAATCTCCGAGATATTCTGGTATCTACATACTCCATCCTGTTCTTCGGGACACCCCATTTTGGCGTAGAAGATCCTCTCCCCGGGACAACTGATCGCCTTCTATCAATACCCATGTATACGACAAATGTCATTCTTAAAGTCCTTCAGCCATATTCACCCGAGCTCGAAAACATACAGAAGCTTTATCTCGAGGTGAGCAGGAAAGTAAAAAACGTATTCTTCTACGCGGAATACGAGGCTCTTGTCGGAAATCGTCGAAGGAGGCTGGTCAGTATCAAAAGTCTGGAGAACGTGTTGGGCTGAATAGACCACAGAACGTTCGAGCTCACTCGGCAGTCATCCCGGGTGACCGCAGTGCCGTATGGGAGGTACTACACAGTGACCATCAAACCTTAGTCAAATTCTCTTCTCGAGATAGTGACAACTACAAGACGGTGCTTTTCTATCTCAAGGAACATTTCGCAAAAGCTTCACGTGCAGTAGACGACAAGTGGCTCGGTTTGTAACCGCTTAACACTCGAAACGTTTTCTGATCTCACAGGTAGATGCCATGAGACAGGACCCCCTCAAAGCAGTTTCTGAGATTTCTCATCTATTCTTTGAAAACCATGGTACGGCATGCTTGATGTCACTACAGTTTCAATCTGATTATGCCGTAGACTATAAACGAGAAGACTAAAGAGTACAAAGTACTCAGGGATAGTCTTGAAGCACATATATCCATCTTGGATGAAGGATATCTCCAGACAGTCAAGGATGGACATATGGACCAAATGCCTGACGCGCTCAAGGAGTTCAACGATGCATGGAAACATTACATTGTGTACGGTCATGGGTCGAGCTTTTGAATGTTTTGCTGAGATTCTGTAGCACTCTAAGAAACATACTCGCCAGAATGGATGGGTTGAATCGCAGTAGAGATCAAGGCGTCAAAGGGTCTATCGAAAAGATCAAGGGCACCAAAATTGACACAAGAGATATTGCAGACTACAAACAGGAAATCTTACAAGCGACACGCATATGCAAGGTACGAGTACCCGGTGAAGCCAGGTTTGTATTGAGCTATTTGCAATAGGATGCGGCCAATTTCTGTCAAAATCAGCTGCAAGCGGAAGGTTAGTTTGATTTACATCAATCTCCGACTCATAGTGATTCTCGACAGTGTGGAAAGTAGCCCGACTCGAGCCCGAAAAGCCTCGTCCAATGGGCACTCAGCACAAGACGTGTCTACCAGGTACACGTGTAGCGATTTTGCAGGAAATTCGGCAATGGCGTCTGGAACCCAATGCAGACAAGTGCATCTTTTGGCTCTGTGACGTTGGTGGGTCTGGAAAGTCTACAGTCGCGTTGACGATGTGCAAGGAATGGGATAATACCGAAGATGTTCTGGTTGGTCGGTTCTTCTTTTCGAAGAATGCTCGACAGACATCGGAGACGGATGATTTCTGCTCTGTCATTGCGGAAGATATCGGTGCGCGAAACAAAATAATTTTAAAACAAATAAAGATGATCAAAGAGGAAGATCCTCACCTTCTCATACGAGAACTGCGCTATCAGTTCACCAAACTCATCGAAGAACCATTGCAACTTGCAGAGACGGATATTGTCCTCGTGATCGACGCAATGGATGAGTGCAAGAAGGAGATGAGGGTAGATTTGATCAACCTACTGGTTGAGAAGCTTTCATCAATGCCTAAACTCAAACTCTTTATAACGAGCCGGCCAGAGCCAGACATCACGGCGATACTCCAGGGTAGAGCGATTGTACGCGGAATGCATTTCAAGATGCACGGCAAAGAGCAGCAGTCCAACTTGGATGATATTAGGTCCTACGTCGTGTACATCTTGTCAAACTGCTTACCGCGCCTCAGCGCCAGGTGTGGAACGCTCAAATGGACTTTTATTTGGATCACGAGCACATCTCTCGAGCTACGAGGGCTCATGGTCCGGATGCACTTGGTGCAACTCTCAGATCCCTCTTGACGCGAGGCAGGGTGGGAGATATTAACCAGGTTTATACAAGCATCCTTCGTCGGCTACGACGAGAGACGTCCAGTGGCACTATACACAAGATTATGGGCACTCTCTAACCTTGTTCGAAGCCAGTGTCGACAGAGGCTCTTGGGGAGATGACTGGGATCGCAGACTCTGAGCTAGAGCCGATCTTAGAGTCGATGCAGTGTATTTCGGGTGGATACTGTGGTAGAGTTTCTGCATCCAACGTTCCAAGAATACCTTCTCAGTCCACACAATGTGGATATGCCATTCAACTCGACAGCAATGCAATCAGACTTGGCCGTATCTATCCTCAAAGTGCTGGGAGGATCTGAAGGAGGACATTTGCGGCATTTCCTGCCAAACAAACCTTATCCAAAGAATGCAGACATCGTGGATCTGGATAAACGTCTAGAACAATTATGGGCTGGGTCTCCGGCACTACCTTATGCGGCAAAGTACTGGGGCTATCATGTGAGCACCGTTGTAACGGATGAACATGTTGCCCAGATGCTGCAAGGTTTTTAAAAGTCAAATTTTGTACCTCGTGGAGCTGTTAAGCTTGATGGATCATGTACATCTTATTCGAAATTTCGAGGAGATTCGGCGAAGTTGTGAATGCCAAGGGTTGGGTGATGAGGTCGAGGTGAGCTAATGCTACATATGATATGTGTATTGACCGCAGTGACAATAGGTATGCCATGATACAGTTAGACTTGTCCAGAGGCATCAAAAAACACTAGAGAAGAGTGCGCTGGATATCTACTCTTCAGGGCTACTATTCCTCCCTCGAAAGTCACAACTGTGGACGATATACAAGAGCAAGTTTTCAGATCGACTACCAAGAATCATTGGAGGACCATCAGTGCATTGGCCCTCACACCAGACTTTGACTGGACATACCGATTCTGTCCAATGTCTGGCCTTCTCGCCAGATGGGCGCCGTCTTGCGTCTGGATCTCGGGATCGCACTGTACGCCTGTGGGATGGGACCACCGGTGCAAGCCTTGGGACGCTTGAGGGACATACCGATTGGGTCCAATGTCTGGCCTTCTCGCCAGATGGGCGCCGTCTTGCATCTGGATCTCAGGATGGCACTGTACGCCTGTGGGATGGGACCACCGGTGCAAGCCTTGGGACGCTTGAGGGACATACCGATCCTGTCCAATGTCTGGCCTTCTCGCCAGATGGGCGCCGTCTTGCATCTGGATCTCGGGATCGCACTGTACGCCTGTGGGATGGGACCACCGGTGCAAGCCTTGGGACGCTTGAGGGACATACCGATTGGGTCCAATGTCTGGCCTTCTCGCCAGATGGGCGCCGTCTTGCATCTGGATCTCGGGATCGCACTGTACGCCTGTGGGATGGGACCACCGGTGCAAGCCTTGGGACGCTTGAGGGACATACCATCTGTCCAATGTCTGGCCTTCTCGCCAGATGGGCGCCGTCTTGCATCTGGATCTCGGGATCGCACTGTACGCCTGTGGGATGGGACCACCGGTGCAAGCCTTGGGACGCTTGAGGACATACCGATTGGGTCAATGTCTGGCCTTCTCGCCAGATGGGCGCCGTCTTGCATCTGGATCTGGGGATCGCACTGTACGCCTGTGGGATGGGACCACCGGTGCCCTGGGACGCTTGAGGACATACCGGGAGGGTCATGTCTGGCCTTCTCGCCAGATGGGCGCCGTCTTGCATCTGGATCTGGATCGCACTGTACGCCTGTGGGATGGGACCACCGGTGCAAGCCTTGGGACGCTTGAGGACATACCACCATCGTGTCTGGCCTGCCAGATGGGCGCTCTTGCATCTGGATCTCAGGATCGCACTGTACGCCTGTGGGATGGGACCACCGGTGCAAGCCTTGGGCATGAGGACATGGGTCCAATGTCTGGCCTTCTCGCCAGATGGGCGCCGTCTTGCATCTGGATCTCGGGATCGCACTGTACGCCTGTGGGATGGGACCACCGGTGCAAGCCTTGGGACGCTTGAGGGACATACCGATTGGGTCCAATGTCTGGCCTTCTCGCCAGATGGGCGCCGTCTTGCATCTGGATCTGGGGATCGCACTGTACGCCTGTGGGATGGGACCACCGGTGCAAGCCTTGGGACGCTTGAGGGACATACCGATTGGGTCCAATGTCTGGCCTTCTCGCCAGATGGGCGCCGTCTTGCATCTGGATCTGGGGATGGCACTGTACGCCTGTGGGATGGGACCACCGGTGCAAGCCTTGGGACGCTTGAGGGACATACCGATTGGGTCTAGTGTCTGGCCTTCTCGCCAGATGGGCGCCGTCTTGCGTCTGGCTCTGGGGATGGCACTGTACGCCTGTGGGATGGGACCACCGGTGCAAGCCTTGGGACGCTTGAGGGACATACTGGGGGTCTGTGTCTGGCCTTCTCGCCAGATGGGCGCCGTCTTGCATCTGGCTCTGGGGATGGCACTGTACGCCTGTGGGATGGGACCACCGGTGCAAGCCTTGGGACGCTTGAGGGACATACCAGGAGGTCTCGTGTCTGGCCTTCTCGCCAGATGGGCACCGTCTTGCATCTGGATCTCGGGATTGCACTGTACGCCTGTGGGATATCACCACCCCACCCAGTTTGGAACCTCCTTATGACTCAATCATGTTCCCAGGCATTTATATTTCTCCAAGGTGGACATTTCTTACATGTGGACAATGGACCAGTACTCAATGTCTCCCACAATCGCCTTCAGTCACTCTCATCTCCATGTCCGAGTGTCACGCCCAACCATGAGCATTCCACAGTAGCTGTTGACTACACCAGTCAGGAGCTGTGGTCTGTTTGTTGTCCATACCGTAGATATCGGATCCCGGATGAGTTTCAGCTGGTTGCTCCACCAAATCCCAAGATAAAATCGCCCTAGGTCTGGAGAATGGACAGGTCATGGTCATTGATTTTGCACAATTTTCTGACCCACATACCCAATTGTAACCAATTCACAATGTGTTCCAAATCACAAACCTTGAATGCAAATCCATCCGAACTCCAGATGATAACTAAATGTTATCCAATTTTTAGACTGTCTATGTGGTAGTGGTCAGGGTAATAATTGCAGCAGTCTGCCTCAGCATGATAGTCCTGGTTCAACCAGGCAAATAATCCACACTGTACCAACCCGGCCCCCCTATTTCCCCCCAAGGGAGAACAGAGGCCTTATATACCTGTTGATTATTAATCTTGGAATGTTCTAGAATATTCTCAAGAATACTAGTTAGAAAGGCCTGACTAATCTCTGCGGCTCTGCTTACAAATGGCAGCTGCATGTGATTACAACAATGACTCATCTGTGCATCATTTGGCTAGAAATATTATCACCAAAGCCACAATTGTGCTCGCGTTGTGATCTAATGTATAGCAAGGATTTGTTGATACTAGGATGTGTGAGTTGTTATCAGATACAAATTGTAGAGCCTTAGGCAAACTTAGTCTCTGAATAAAATGTATCTTTAGATAAGCTGGGATACACTCTTTTGGCTTGAGGGTCAAGCTCATCAGGTTAACCATAAGGTCTTGAGAAGGACCTGAGGCGTGTTAGAGTGTCAGGCTCTTCAGCTTCTTCCATCTTGATGGCTGTAGAGTCATACTCCTCTTCATATTCGTCCTCATCTTCATATAATGTATTGTCAAACTTGATCCTGAAAGGAGAAGCGTGAGGAGGCTCATTAAAATCCTCAATAAATTCATCTAGGTCAGATGCATATTGATCGCAACGCCTAGTACATTCAGGATCACTAAGAGGCTCATAAGAGCGACCTGCATGCATTAAGGAACTTGCTAGATTAATTCTGTTATGATTCTCTGAGCAATTCTCCTTTTCCCAAGTGGGCCTCCGTGCTCTGATAGAGCTCATATTGCGATATATTGACCCAAGTATTTAATAATGAATTTACACAGGCGTATTACTTGGGAAAATCCGTGTGTACACAGTGCTGTTAGTAAGAAGGCTATCTTAAGTACTCACTATGAAGATTCTGATTGCTATGTAAGTTCAAACTATCTAGTTGGCGTACTAGTAGTCCCAGTCTAGCTGCTGAGTGTGAACTTAGGTAGAGATACTAATGATCTGACACAAGGAATAATTGTGAATTAAATCTTGTTCGTACTAGACATGTTTCTACAGGCCTTATATACCTGTTCTAAGTGGCAGTGAGACTGTGCACACAGTTCGCAGTACCTTGTCTAGACTGTGCCCACAGCTGGAGTACTGTGAGCCCAGTTACTGTCGAAGGTTCACACCCTTCGACTCTTAGCGCTCACTAAATAGACTTAGCCAATAGTCATAGCTCACGTCGTAACTCAATGTATTTAGGGACGCGGGATGACACAGCCAGACCTTACTGGTCTTGCCTCTCACCTCACGCGTCCTAGTATCAACAGGTTATGAGCCACTTGTTGCTATAAGAAACTATACAGATCAGTCAATCGCCCTCTGCGCATAATTCACAAAGAATGTCCAACTCAAAGGAACCGACCAGCGTTCCTGTCCTCTCAAAGGACAATTACCCAGCATGGTCTCGGAAGATGAAAGCATACTTTTTTCTGCACGACCTCTATGAACTCGTACTCGGCGAAGACCTCAAACCTACAGAAACGGATGACCAACCAAAGTGGATCAGACGACAAAGGCAGGCGGCCGCCGCCATTACAATGTCAATCGACGAGACCAATGCAACCCACATCGATGATATCAGTGACGATCCTGTTGAAATGTGGAAGAAGCTCGCTTCCATGCACAATAACAAGTCAGCTGGCACTCGCTTTAATGCAATGGACTCCTATTCGGAGTTACAAAGGAAGATTCCGAGGACCTGGCCGAGCTTATGACTCGCATCAATGGATTACTCCAGCGTGTGAAACAGCTCCGGCCAATGGGCTACACGATCACAGACCTCGACAACGAGTTGGCCATCATGGCGATGCTTTGGGCCCTTCCAGATGACTACCGCCACCTTCGCTCATCGCTTCTCTGCCAAACAAACATAACATGTGAAGTCATCGAGGAAGCGTTCCGAGCTGAAGACAACCACCGCCAACATGAACAACGAAGCCAGGCCACTGCCTTGCGCGTCACCACACCTAATCAGTACCGGACCAACGGCCCGTCACACCATTTTCGTCCAAAGCCCAGCACCACCGGTCGCACACCCGGAGCGCTGTGCACTTTCTGCGGGAAGAAGAACCATACCGAGGCCCAGTGCTTTGCCAAGGCCGACGCATCGCGCCGTCTCAAGCACGAAGCAGCACGTGTTGCAGATACATCTACTGGACCTGCTACTGCCAATGCGACGAATGCAAGTAACCCTACTCTCCCTTCGTTAGCTAGGTCTGACCTGAATGCCGATACAGGGGCCACTCGGACAATGATGAGTGACAAGCGATACTTTACTACGCTTTGCCCTTCGGTCAGGACAATTAAACTGGCTAATGGAGAGAGGATATTCTCGAAAGGAGAAGGGGATATTGTGTTTCAGCCATGGATAGACGGCTCCTTTAGCTCTGATCTCATCACTTTTCCTAATGTGCTCTTCGCTCCTGATCTCGAATCGAATCTTGTCTCGGTACTCTCAATGGCCCGCAATCAGGGTTATGAAATTCGCATCAATTCCAAGCAAATGGAGTTCTATATCGACAATAAGCTACGCATGACAGCTCGAATTGATGCGAACTGCGTTGCTTACCTTGATGGACGAGTTCTCACGTCCGAAAAGGCAAATGCTGCGAGCACAGTGAAACTAGACCGTTCACTGTGGCACCGTCGCCTGGGCCACTATCACCACGAGGGCGTTGATACATTAATCCGCCAAAACCTGGTTCGTGGACTCAAGCTTGACTCAAATGCAAAGCCCGACCCTATATGCGCACCGTGTATTGCAGGGAAACAGACTCGAGCACCTCATACTACGCCAGCAACCCATGCTATAACTCCACTAGATCGCGTCTTTATCGACCTTAAAGGCCCAATCAATGTTGAGTCCATTCCACACCGCGCCAAGTACTGGATGGCTATGGTGGATGATGCGTCTAATCTTGTCACACTATCACTTCTCCACTTGAAGGATGGAGCGCTCAAGGCTTTCTGCGAGTTCCATAAGCTTGCTGAGAACCAGACAGGCCAGCGCCTGGTACACTTGCGAGACGATAAAGGCGGCGAGTTCAGTGGAAAAGAGTTCGACCAATACTGCATCTCTGCTGGGATTACAAGGGAACGCACCATAGTTGCCACACCAGAGCAGAATGGACGGGTCGAGCGAGCGAACCGATGGATAGCTGAAGGGACAATCGCTAAACTTACAGAAGCGAACCTTCCACCATCTTTTTGGGGGTTTGCTGCACTTGCCACTGTCCATGAGTTCAATCGTGCCCGAGTTCACAATGGAAAGACACCATATGAACACTGGCATGGTAAAGCTCCCAGTGTCGATCACCTTCGAGTATTTGGATGCCTTGCCTATGTCTTTATCCCAAAATCACAGCGGAATGCTCTCGATTCGCACACTGAGAAGTGCATCTTTGTCGGGTACCCATCCGACCGCCCTGGCTGGGTGTTCTGGAACCCACAGACACGAAAGATTATACACAGCGACAGCGCTGTATTCGATGAGAGAGTCTTTCCAGGCACTTCGTCTGCAAAGGAATCGACCCCGAACCTCTCCGACTACATCCAGCTGCCAGATCTCGAGGAAATCGACACCCCTTCATCATCCATTCCACCTCCAAACACTCATTCTCCTGTCCACGTTGCAGGGCGACCTGTGCCAGCACCTATCCCTCACGAGCCTGTCCCTCCACCAGCACCAGCGCCTGCGCAGCCTAAACCCACAGCTCCACAGTGTCTGAGTTGTGAGCTTCGAGCACTCACTGACCAGACCAATTTTGAGAAGGTTCCTAGGAATCTCCCGGCACGACGACACACAGTTGCGCGTCAGCCAGGCACTTTGACTCGGATCTCGACCTAAATGAGAGCTCTGATGAAGGTAATGCCCAATTAGCTGCCGAAGACGCATCCCTACCCTTGAATTCCAACTCTTATGTGCCAACTAAAGCTTGACGCTGGAGACCCAAGCCGGACCTCGAAGCGCCCGAGCACATCCTGATTCCCATTGCTGATGGTGTCGAAGCTGCTTTAAACACATCTACAAGCCGCGAGCCAACAACGCTGGGAGAGGCCCTGAAATGCCCTGACAGTGACAAGTATGTCCAAGCGGCTATAGAAGAGGTCAGAGCTCATCTGGAAAACGGCACGTGGAAGCTTGTGCGACTTCCACAAGGCAAAAAGGCTATCGGCTCACGTTGGGTATTCAAAATCAAGCGTGATGCCGATGGGTCTATTAGCAAATACAAGGGACGAATTGTGGCAAAGGGATATGCACAACGAGAGGGAATTGACTACACAGAGACCTTTGCACCAACAGCTCGCTTTGGTGCCCTTCGCACCATCATAGCACTCGCAGCGCTCGAAGACTGGGAGCTAGAGTCAGTAGACATATCAACCGCCTTTCTCAATGGTGAGATTGATGCAGAGGTCTACATGCGAAAGCCAGAAGGCGTCGAGTTCGAGGGCTATGAAGGTACAAGCTGGGTGCTTCAACTTCTCAAGGGTCTCTATGGAATCAAACAAGGCCCTCGCATCTGGTCTGTGAAGCTACACACTGTCTATCAGAAATTGGATTCAAACGTCTCGAAAGCGACCACAGTGTCTTCATCTATGAACGCGACAGTGTGAAGATCATTGTACCAGTCCATGTCGACGACTTACTGCTTGCATCAAAGTCATCCGAAGCCATCCAAATGGTGAAGGATGAGCTCAAAGCACGCTTCAAGATCCATGACCAAGGCCCTACCTCATTCCTACTTGGTGTCAAGCTCGAGCGTGATCGCCAATCCCATACCATCTCCCTCTCTCAACCTGCGTACATCGAACAGATCCTCGAAACCTACAAAATGCAGGACTGTAATGGCGCCGACACGCCTATGGCTGAAAAGCCACTCCTCTCGACCAAGGATTCACCACAAACTGAGCAGGAGAAGTTGGAAATGCGGAATGTACCCTATCGAGAGGCCCTTGGAAAGCTCATCTATCTCGCAACTGCCACTCGACCAGACATCTCATATGCTGTGGGGGTGCTCTGTTGGTTCAGCAAGAATCCTGGACAAGCACACTGGCTAGCTCTCAAACGGGTACTGCGGTATCTCCGCAAAACGACAAACTACAAGCTCACCTACGGCCTCAAACCCGACTCTGACGAACTGTTCACAACGCATAGTGATGCCGATCTGGGTGGAAACGCTGATAATACCCGCTCAACAGCTGGTTTTGTCATGTCAATTGGTGGCGGCGCTGTAATGTGGAGTAGCCGACTCCAGCGCCACACATCACTATCATCAACGGAGTCGGAGTATACAACAGCCTCTGCCACTGGGTGCGAAATGATCTGGATGCGGTCATTCCTCAACGAAATTGGCTACAACACTATACCCTATACTACCAATGCCCAGGACAGAGGCCCTGTTGCACAAAGGTAGTTCACTACCTCAAAACGTTATTGGAAGTAGATCTCTATATTTTATTATGAATTCTAAAGTTATTCATTTTGCTGAATCAAACCTCCTTCCCAAGGACCCTGCTTACAAAGATGGGAGGCTGGGTGGCCAACACACGCCCTCTCACAAAATTTACCAACTTGAAATAGTACATATGCATGTAAACATTCTTTTAATTATTATCATGGCTCCTCAACTGTTCCCATCCACTTGCAATCCACCACCTGTTCTATCCAGCCATGACATGCAGTTCAGCTGTCACCTCTCATATGTCAAAAAGATTAAGAAAATCAATAAGACTTTTATATAGTATCGAAATGATTTGGTCAAATCTTGTTACCCTTGACTGGATGAGCCTTACCATCCCCGGTCATGGCTGCCAGCCCTGCAATGCTTTTAATGATGCTATTCCTTCGGGAATGATGACTAAATCGATATTATGGATAATTTATGGTGAACCATCCATATCCCATGCCTCTGAGACCAAGCAAGCTAATAGTTGAATCCACATTTCTTCCAGTTCAAAAACCTGCATAAATCCTCGGGATTGATAAATATGTCTCATCATACCTATACCAAGCCCCAATCCTCTGTTTCATAGAGGACCATGCAGGAAACACAAGAACTGCCGCATGAGACAGCGAGATAGCTAGTGTGATATTATCTCATGATTAAATAAATATTTCTGACCTGGAGAAATCTGCCCTTCCAATGACTTTGTCAAACTCGCAATGTTTATCTGTGGGAGACTGCAGCTAACCAGATCACAACATGTACAGAAGCCTGCTCAATTAGTTTAATCTTATTTCTTGTACTTTAAAATGCCTTTTATCCTCCGAGAAATCCACTCCTTGCCCAGTTGCAAGTCACTGGATATACCCCGCGCTCCTCACACGAGGTAAGGTAGACATTCTCCTTCCTGAATAGAATATATAGAGCAGATAGGTATAATGAGTCCATTTCCCAGAGGCAAAACTTGCCTGCTCCCAACCTGCCGACGCCTGTGCGACTTGCTCTCGCTGCCGGATCAGATTGCGCTTATTTTGACTTCTCTCTTGACTCTAATTTAGCTTTGGTGTATGTATGACCATAGATTCTTCCACCCTGCATATGATGGTCAGCCACAGTTTCGGGGGTCCCCATACTTTGAAAGGTTAGACCTTTGATATCTATCTTCATCAAACATATTCAGTCTATGATACTGCCTCGCGTCACGACTAACTGCATTTAGGAATGCGTGGCGGCATGATGCCCCCGTCCCAGTACCAACGTATAGCAGGCTCGAACCGAAGCTTGATACATGCGAAAAAGTGAATACGTACCAGTAACATTCAATATACAAACATTCAATGAGGCTAAGAATGTAGCCTATGCCCATTTTTCAACTAGGGCACCCCAAGCACTCTCATAGTAGCTCGAGACAGGATCCAACATACCTATAAATTTGCTTGCCCTCTTTATACTACGCTCTAGTGTCGTACTTCGACGTAAATCTCACCCACGAGCCCGAAACGCGGGTTCTATATCCTGCGCTCCCTGCATGAGCATTCACTAAATCAAATGCGTAACTTCTCATTAAAGACGTGTTTTGGGCTATGTTTCGGGCTCTCGTTATTCCTCGGGTTCGGGTT